AACACTATGTGGAGTCATATTTTTGACACCAAACAAACCTTTTTACAAATTCGACCAGTGGAGTTTTTGACATATATGATTAGGTAACATTTGTTTGCCTCGTGGGTATTCTTGATGTCCGGTGTGTCCGTCGAACTTTGTAGTCCCAACCGTAGTTTGTCATCACTAACTCAGATTGGGATGAATTAGTGTAGTTCTTCAGCGTCACTAGGAACCTCCCCAACCAAAGGAAAGTTTATTATCCTTTCCCTAAGGGTTGAACTGGTTCAAGGTGGATATCTTCAGGATATTGGATTGGCTAGTTCCTAAAAGGGGCGTGTTTCATCTATGTTTTGAAGTGTGTTTGCTAAGTGCAGGATCTACCTCAAAAGAGTGGCTTAGGCCATCCTGTGAAGTATTACAAGACTCTTTGTGGTCACAATGTTTCATAGCTATCAGATTAATTATTGAAAGTTCATGAAATATGGTTATCCTTTTATCCATATAGTGAATGTGGTCATTTGCCACGGTCTTTGTCTGCATACTTTTAACAATCGTAGATAATCGACTGTTTCTGGGTGGTCGCTTGAGATCGTACCTTTTGAATAGTCGTTAGAGTAATATATTTTTTGTTCCTTTTATCTAGAGATGGATGTCATTCTCCATAATTATCCAAAATTCAATTGGTAACGTGCTTGTAGGGGATGTGGGAGTTTTACCCCTAGGATTCAACTGAACTTTGCTTACTTTGAAACTGTTGTTGAATGGAGATGAGGTTTTTTTTACTGGATTCTTTGATGAATCCTTTTTCTCGTCAACATGGAGCGAGCATAATTTCCTTCTCTACAACACTGTATTCATGCAGATTGGCGAAGCTAAGCGTTAAGCTAGATAAAACTGACAATTAAAAGTGTCTTGGGCGGTGCTTCACTTCGAGGTTATTAGCATCCCAAGACGCATTTCTTCCGTGTATTCTTCCTTGGTAAGGGTGCAATATTTGTTGAAATATTAAACTTGATTTGGGCCTAAACATATTATTTGGATTTTTGGGCTTAGTTATTTTGGACTTAGGTAATTTTAATTAAGGTTTCTAGAAAACTCTTGTAATGTTTGGAGTGTCTAGATAATTCTTAAGGTTGTAATATTCTCTAGAATGCTCTTGGAATTCCTAGAGTTGAGAACTCTCTAGAATTAGTGTGTCTAGAGTTCTCCTTAGAGTACTATAAATAGAGATGTAATTCTACACTTTTGCATCAAGAAAAATACAAAGTTCTCTCTTCCATAAATAATTCTTCTACCTATCAAATTTCTCTTTAAGCCTCTAATATTCCCACACATTTTTTCTTAAACACAAAAGGTCTTATTTCCAACAAAGTGGCATCAGAGCTTGAAGGTCCTCAAAAGATGGCGAATGGAGGTTTCTCTTTTCAAATGCCGATGCTCACAAAGAACAATTATGACAATTGGAGTATCAAGATGAAGGCGCTACTAGGAGCTCAAGATGTGTGGGATATTGTTGAGAAAGGCTTCAAGGAGCAAGATGAAGCCTCCTTAAGCCAAGGTGTAAAGGAGACATTAAAGGAGTCAAGAAAGAGAGACAAGAAAACTCTCTTCCTCATTTATCAATCGGTGGATGAAGATACATTTGAGAAGATCTCCAATGCAACGACGGCCAAAGAAGCATGGGACAAGCTTCAAACTTGCAACAAAGGAGTGGAGCAGGTGAAAAAGATTCGTCTTCAAACTTTTAGAGGTGAGTTTGAACGTTTATTTATAGAAGAGTCTGAGTCAATTTCTGATTATTTTTCTCGAGTATTGTCCGTAGTCAATCAACTTAACTTGGACAATAGAAAGAGCACTACTGGTTTTGTATTCTTTATGGGAGATACTTCTTTCACTTGGATGTCAAAGAAACAACCTATCGTCACACCGTCAACTTGTGAAGCCGAATATGTTGCCGCTACATCATGTGTTTGCCATGCAGTTTGGCTAAGGAACTTGTTGAAAGAGTTAAAAATGCCACAAGAAGATCCTATGGAAATATGTGTTGACAATAAATCAACACTTGCTTTGGCAAAGAATCCTGTATTTCATGAAAGAAGTAAACACATCGACACCCGTTACCACTTTATAAGAGAATGCATTGAGAAGAAGGATGTGAGGTTGAAGTATGTGATGTCTCGAGATCAAGCTGCCGACATTTTCACTAAGCCACTCAAGTTGGAAACGTTCGTAAAGCTAAGGAGCATGCTTGGAGTCACAAATCAAGTTTAAGGGGGGATGTTGAAATATTAAACTTGATTTGGGCCTAAACATATTATTTGGATTTTTGGGCTTAGTTATTTTGGACTTAGGTAATTTTAATTAAGGTTTCTAGAAAACTCTTGTAATGTTTGGAGTGTCTAGATAATTCTTAAGGTTGTAATATTCTCTAGAATGCTCTTGGAATTCCTAGAGTTGAGAACTCTCTAGAATTAATGTGTCTAGAGTTCTCCTTAGAGTACTATAAATAGAGATGTAATTCTACACTTTTGCATCAAGAAAAATACAAAGTTCTCTCTTCCATAAATAATTCTTCTACCTATCAAATTTTTCTTTAAGCCTCTAATATTCCCACACATTTTTTCTTAAACACAAAAAGTCTTATTTCCAACAATATTCACTATTATTTAATAATAAGTTATCGAGTTACTAAAGGTCAAAGGATCTCTGCTATTATGTGCGCCCGAATCTGATTGGCTAGGACCTAATAGTTCAATTGCGTTGGATCAAAAGTTATTACGAGGAAGCCATCTTATGCGAGGTATCTTGTAAATGTTTTCACCAGTGATGGAGACTATCAAAACCACTGGTAGTTTGACTGCGCTGGATCAAAAGTTATTGGAGGAATCCATATTACGCGTTTGTATGTATTTTCACCAGTGGTGGAGACTGTCTAAACCACTGGTAGTTTTGTACTCGAGATTCTTCGTATTTTCTCATCTCTTGAATGTATTCGTGCATTTTGATCTTCGTTGCTTCACTCAATATCCATTTGTCATTCAGACGATATATTCTAACAGCAAATCATCATTAAATTTAATGATGTTATGGATCTCAATTGTGAAAATCAAAAGCGGTAGAATGGAATAAGAATATCTTAAAAATTCGCATCGCAACATGTGATATGCGATAGTAATCACGACCATTGTCGATAGATATACTTTTAAGAGTCCATTTACCTCTCCGCGATATAGGAATCCTGATACTATATGATCTTCGTTTATCTTTTGGAAATTATTCGACATACAGAGAAGGTACTCGTGCATCAGATACACATTGGAAGTTGTTATGGTTTGGATCTTATCGACGACGAATAATTGAGGTGATGTGAAATTAGAAGGTGGATGAGGGATCATTGGTGCGAGCTTGGAGATAACTGCCTCCATTTCTCAACGACTCTGGTAGGTTAATCTTAGGTCGAGGACGATCTGTTTGTGGATTTTTTGCGGGAATTAAGAGTCATTTGCTATACTCAGTGCCATTGTTCCATTCTGAAACAAGAATTAGGTATGTATTGATGATAAAGAATCGTGAATCGATGGTTCTGATATCCGATACAACGATGCAGGAGTGAAACTGCAAGGTTAACACTCTAACGCCTAAGTCAGTTCAAAATTCAAGATAAAGTGTAATAGAAAGTGAAAATTAAAAAGTGTATCTTGAATATCTTGTGATATGACTTTTATCCTTTAGATCATTTTGAGCGGTTTGACATCAACTTAAGTCTTACCTTCTTCAGTCTTTGGTCAATCCAGAACAAGATCAATATGATATTTTTTTAAAAATTAAATGACCAAAATAAATTTCAAATATAACACACGAGACAAAAAATATAATAAACCTTTTTTTTAAAATTATAATAATTATGTATAACAATTCGATAGAATTTATCCTTAAGTCTAATTTATATTAATCATAACTTTCTTAAGTTATTTATAATTTATTTGTTCTTTTACTATATTTTTTATCGGTAGTTAAACTGGTCAAAATATACCACAATTTTATATTATATTCGAAATAATATTATTTACTTATATTTTTATATTACACTAAATTACAATAAATTAATAATTAAGTCAATCAAATTAGGGATCAATTTATTTTATCTTTAAAAAAATATTTTTCTTTATGTTTTGAAAAACAATTTTAAAGTAATAAAAGTTTTTAAACTTATTTTTTATAAGTTAAAAGATTAATTTTGACATCCATTAAAGTAAATATATATTATTAAATATTAAAACATAGTTAAATTCATATAATTTTTTGAAAACAATTTTAAAAAAAAGTAATTTAAAATAAGTTTAAATTTATTTAAAAGTTTGATATTAAAAAAATTATAATAAAAAGATGAAATATATTAAATAACAATTTAACTCAAAATTTCATTTAAAGTATTTTTAACAAAATTCTTTATATGTTGTTTTTAACAAAAGTATATAATAATATAAAAACCATTTTAAAAAAGAAAAGCTAAAATACACAAATTTGATTTCTTTCCTTTAGGTTAAAACAACTACTTTTGTTTATTTCCTTTTCCTACCCCACCTCATCGTCCCACTTCTGAAAGCCTCAAATCGTTTTGTTTCCACTTTCAACATCGCAGAGCTAAGCTCATTTCTCAAAGAAACCGCCAATTTTTCAATTCAACCCCAAAAAGTACCACCAACTCGTGACTAACTAACTCGTGATACATTCCAAATAGAAAAGACAGAAGAAAGTGCAATAGTAGTAGTGGCCACGTCTTCATCATCCACTCCCTCCTCCATTAAAACCAAACATCACCAACACGTGAACCACTTCTGAACTCACTATCCATCAACATGACCACAAACCAACAATAACATCGACACTAATTCTAATAAAATACAATAAATAATTACCATTTCCTTAATCATTAATCATTTACTAAAAACAGAGCACTAGAATTATTATATAAAATATCATAACCATGATCCTCTTCAATTCATTAGACACACACCATGTCTTCTCTATTCTCTTTCTCTCTTTTTCTTTTTATCACTTTCACATTCACCTCCGCCGCTCACCACCACCACCACCACTCACCCACTCCCACCACCGCGCCTTCTCTCTCTCCCTCCGCCGTCCCAGACATCCAACAAGCCTGCAAAGCCACTCGCTTCCCTCCACAATGCGAATCCTCTCTCTCTAAACTCCCTCCAAATTCCACAACTCTCCAACTCCTCCTATTTTCCATCGCACAATCCTCCGAGAATCTCGTAACAGCCAAATCCATGGTTAAATCCATTCTAGACTCTTCCAAAGACAGCCGCAACCGCACCGTCGCGGCAACCACCTGCATCGAAACTCTCACCAACTCTCAACACCGCATTTCCCTCTCCAACGACGCGCTTCCGCGTGGAAAAGTCAAAGACGCTAGGGCGTGGCTCGGCGCGGCGCTCGCTTATCAATACGACTGCTGGAGCGGACTCAAATACGCTAACGACACCCGCGCCGTCGGTGAAGCGATGTCGTTTATTGATTCCTTAACAATGCTCTCCAGTAACGCTCTTGCCATGGCGTTTTCCTACGACGTTTACGGTAACGACACTTCGTCGTGGAAGCCTCCAACCACCGAACGCGACGGGTTCTGGCAAGCGGCACAATCAGACGGAGGATCCGGCTCTAACATAGGGATTCCACCGGGATTGAAGCCGGATGTTACGGTGTGTAAGGGAGGGGAGAATGGATGTTACAAGACGGTGCAAGAAGCGGTTAACGCAGCGCCGAGTAACTCCGTTGACGGGAAGAGGTTTGTGATATTTATAAAAGAAGGGGTTTATGAAGAAACCGTTAGGGTTCCGTTAGAGAAGACGAATTTGGTGTTCTTGGGCGACGGCATTGGGAAGACTGTCATCACCGGGTCTGCTAACGCTGACCAGCCCGGAATGACTACTTACAATTCAGCCACAGTCGGTAACTATTTTTCATTTTCATGAATCGAACTTTTTCAATAGTATAATTATAATCAAGGTTTTACAATTTCGATTTATATAGGTGTTGCAATACTGATTCCACTTGATGCAATGTTAATTAACCATAATTTGTTCTTTAACATAAAAAAACTGTGAATAATTTTTGTCAAAACCTTGTTTATAATGATTAATGATGGTGGTTTAGTTGTTGAGAATTCTGTTCATGTTCAACAATAATCTTCACTTTGGTGTTCTTGAGCAAATGTTTAGTGAACATTTGCTTTCACATGACTTAACTTTTGGGGTATTTGATTGGTGTTTGCAGCGGTTCTTGGCGATGGATTCATGGCAAAGGATTTGACATTTCAAAACACAGCAGGTCCTGATGCACATCAAGCAGTGGCATTAAGATTAGACAGTGATCTTTCTGTGATTGAGAATTGCGAGTTCATAGGAAATCAAGACACTCTTTATGCTCATTCCCTGCGCCAATTCTACAAATCATGCCGCATTATAGGGAACGTGGATTTCATCTTTGGAAATTCAGCTGCAATTTTTCAAGACTGTCAAATTCTGGTTCGTCCTAGACAAGTCAAGCCAGAGAAAGGCGAGAACAATGCAATCACAGCTCATGGTAGAACCGACCCTTCACAAACTACAGGGTTTGTTTTTCAGAACTGTTTGATTAATGGAACTGAGGATTACATGGCATTGTATCATAGTAATCCTAAAGTGCATAAGAACTATTTGGGTAGGCCATGGAAGGAGTATTCCAGAACAGTTTTTATCAACTCAGTTTTGGAAGAACTTGTTACTCCTGGGGGTTGGATGCCATGGAATGGTGAGTTTGCACTTAAGACTCTTTATTACGGAGAGTTTGAGAATAAGGGAAGTGGTTCTGATTTGTCTCAAAGGGTGTCTTGGAGTAGTAAAGTCCCTGCTGAACATGTGTCGAGTTATTCGGTTGAGAATTTCATTCAAGGAAGTGAATGGGTTTCATCATCTCAGTTATCAGCGCAGGGTCGTAGTAGTCCTCACATGACTAATAGGGTGGCATAAGTACTTGGGCGAGTTTTGTTTCATTTATTTACTTCACTCCCTTTGTACCATTTTACTTATACAATGATCAATAATATCTGAATTTCAATAGTTATTAGTAATACCCTTACACTTAAGGAGTGGCCTAGGCCCCACAAAAAAATGAGCGGGGAGGAGATAAACATATTAACAATATAGGTCCAAATGAGTATGTCCGATGGAGCAGACCAGATCTACCAACCCTAAACTCATATTTGCACTCACCTTACAGTGGACGACACCTATTTGAAATTGGAAGATTTACATGTTTTGTTTTTTTGATATTGGTGATTGTGATGTGGTTTAAATCGGTTTTGATATAAAAATCCATCTGATTCAAAGCTAAATTTATTCGGTTCAGTTTTAATGATTCATTAAAAAAAATCAAATTCGATTCAATTCAATTTTATATGATTTAATTTAAACAAATATTTGGATATTCAAATTAAAAATTTTATTTTTTTATTAAAATTATAAAATTCTAACAGATAAAAGATTTGATATAATAATAAATAAATAAATAATTAAACTTAATTAATAAATAGCATTAAAAAAATAAATATCATCGAAATAATAATATATTTGAAAATTCAATCTAAATGCCGTTTTGTGTGGGAAACACATGTAACCCCTCTTCCATGTTAAAAGAGACATGGTTGAAAAGAAACAGAAAGTTATCTTCTATATGAATTTAGAAAGCACATATATATTGCGGTCCACACAAATGTTGGACAGCGTCCACCTTAATTTAATGACTTTTCTTTGGCATATGTTTGGCTACTTGAGCTAAGCCAAAAGAGTCATTGAGTTGCTAATATGTCCTAGTCCGGTTGAGACATCGCCTTGATGATGAAGTTGAAATTAAGTGCTTGTACAACAACACCAAAGAAAGGAAGTTCATAATATCATTGTCAAAGTTCCAACCATAGACCGTTTCTTCCTTAAAGTGTGAACACTGAACAATCAAAGTTATACCTGCAACCAAACAAACTTTAATGCATAAACATTTGTCGAGTGTAATACAATGCTATGTTTGGTCACGAGCCTTTGGAAAGCAGTTAGTCACATGCTGCGGAATGGTACCCCACATGCAGTGCTTGCTATTCACAATTTAAATTTACTTCTATTCCAAAAGATAGAGATTCAACGGAGGGGACACTCCTACTCCTACTCTCCTAGAGTCCTAGTACTCTTATATTAGTAACAAAATATAAATCTATAATTTGCTAGTAGTGAAAGCGAAATCAATTTAATATGAATTTTTTTGAAAAGTTTCAAATTCTATATAAAAAAGGGTCTAGAAAAGATTTTTTTTATTATTCATAATATATATATATATATATATATATATATATATATATATATATATATATATATATATATATATATATATATATATATATATATATATATATTTGAAATAAATAAATAAATAAATATTTCATTAAAATGAATAAATATAAATCAAGAATTTATATTTTAGTAGCACTTAACTATAAGTGATAACTCCATCTATCTCACCAAAAAATTATTTTCATTTTTCACAATTTAAAAATAATTATTGTTTTAAAATATTTACGCCATATTTTTTTAAATATTTTATTAGTAAAAGATCCTGGACTAATACATACAAAAATACATAAAGATATATGTGTTTATATAATTAAATATAGTTATTTGAATTTATGATTGTAATCGCAATATTATTTATACATAAAACTCTTGATCTCCATGATAATATCCAGTAGGTATTATGGACTCAGTGTTTGACATGTTTAAATAGGGCTGGCAATGAACCAAACCAACTCGAAGATAGTTCGGAATTCGACTCGATAATTAAATCGTTGAACTAGGTTCATGAACCAAATGAGTTGAGTATGAGCGAAAAATTAAGTTCGTTAACTAAATGAGCTGAACTTGAACTATACATAGTTCGACTCGTTAGGTTCATGAGTCAACTCGACTACATATGAAAAGAATTATACTGTCTTTAAGATTAGGTTTAAATATTTACTTCAAATATTAGACAAATTTAATCTTCAATTTAGTAGTTTTTGAGTTAGACTCTCAAATGTATCTCTTGAAAGTTGTGTAGGTTTTGAATTAGTAGATTTCGAAGATAAAGTTAAATATCAATATGATAACTTTTATTTTATTTTAATATTTTATTTAAAAAATATATATTTATTTAAAATGTCAAATATACTAAAAAATATATATATTTAAAAAAATAGTTTTTAAGTTCGTGAACCATGTGAGCTGAACCTAATGAGATGAACCTAACGAGTCGAATCGAACTGTTCGTGAACTTATAACGAGTCGAGTTTGAGCTTAAAAAAAAGTTCGTGTCGAACTCGAACTCGAACTCGAATTCGAACAATTCTTAACGAGTCGAGCCGAGCTGAGGTGAGTTCGACTCGACTCGACTCATTTCCAGCCCTATGTTTAATAGTATATGTTATTATTTTAAAGTTGTTAATATTATTCAGCATTATTACAATTATGGATGAATCTACTCTAAAAAGCACATGTACAAAATAGATCTTCAAAATACATATATTATTCAGCATTATTACAATTATGAATGAATATATCTACTATAAAAAACACATGTACAAAATAGTTCTAAAGAGATCTTCAAAATACATTGAATAGACGTTTCAAAAAGTATGACATATAAAAAGACATTATATAGTAGTACTTTTTTTTAATCGTCATTCTTTAATAATATAGATTTTCAACAATAGACTTTTATTTTTTTTTCTCAAAAATAGTTTTTTATTTTATTTTAAAATAAAATAAAATAAAAAAATAATGTGGCATTGAATCATGATATTTGATTGATTAATGGTATCAATACGTACTCAATTAAATTGAAAGGTATCGAGGTGTTCACCTTAATTTTTTTTATTTATAAAAATATTTTTTATTAATAATATATATATTTTTTTGTTTATAAAAATATTTATAATAACCATCCATTTTTTTCGGTTATAAATAAGATCATTTAGTTTAAAAATAGAGTTACTCATTAGATAACAAAATCTGATTTAAAATATTAGGTTTCCTCATGGTATAAACCCATAAAAATTTAGTTGGGTAGGATATAAAACTCATTATGGAAATAGTACGCATAGTAAAAGAGAAACTATGAGTCAATCAATGATAAATAATACTAATAAATTTTTGAAAGGTGAAGAATATAATTGTACTTTATTACATACAATTGGAGTAAATAATTTTTAAAAATTAAACTTAATTATAAAAATAATAATTACTACAATTAGATAACAATGTGGTTCAAAAGCATAATTTTAAGATTGTCAACTTTTTTTTTTATTTAATTAAATTTTAAATTCAATAAAAAATTAGTTGACACTAAACAATTTTAATTATCATTAAATGTCTTTTATTTTAATTTTTTAACCACCAATAAATAAATTTATTTGATTGTATCATCAGTGTGCAGTTATTGGATCGATTAATTTAATTTGATCGTGAATTCAATTGCAGTTGCGAGGATTGAAATATTAGTTTTTTCTACAAAATTCATTGTCAACCACTAATCATGTACCGTTTGATGCATTAAAAAAAACACATGAGTGTATATTAAATAGTTGCACAATAATTATACTTTGAGTATATGCAAAAGTGTAAATTAAATAGTTGTAGAAAACAAAATGGAGTCATTAGAAGAACATAGAAAATTGATGATACTTTTATAAAACCAAACACTATGGTAACTTAGTTTCTACGATTGATAAAAATTGAATTAGAAAGTTTTCATTGAAAAGTGCAGCGTTTGAGAGTACTAATGTATTAGTTGTTGTGATTTTCAATAAAATAGTAGTAGGATATCAGTGCAATCATACATGTCTCATATGTATTCACACATATCATTTATCAAATCTGAATTCTTTTTTAGATTCAAAATATTAATATAATTTAAAATATAGAACAATATAATGCAACAATTATGAATGTCAAAGTGGTAATTCGTCTCGTTGATATCCGCTCCGTTTAAATTCGTCTAAAAACGGGACAAGGTGGGGCAGAACAACATAAGCGTTTGAGCTCAAAAGTCAAGTCCGTCTCGTTTACTAATGAATTGACGGCCCGCTAATTTTTTATTTTACAATTTAATATACTACATAATTTTTAAAAAAAAATATTTATTAACAAAGAAGTCGGCAATTTTTTTTATTTAAAACATGTAAGTCTAAATAGTTAAAATAAATAAATAAATAAATAAAAATCAATTATAAAAATAAAATAAAATAAACTCAAACACAATAAAAAACGTATCAAAATAAATAAACAATACATATCATTCTAATCTTATTTAAAAACTAACTAGAAAAAAAATTCAATTAAAAATTTACAAAGACAAAGCTTGACTTTATCAACACCTAACTTTTCTGACTTTTTCACTGTTTACATCCTATAGTTGTCACACATAGCGTTGTTTTTATAATTAAAGTTGTTTTAATTCTAAGTAAAAAGATAAAAAAGTTTTAACAAAAAGTATGAGGGCAAAACCCCCTCTCCGCCTCAATCCGTTTGAAAAGCTTTTTCGAGCGGGTTAGATGAAGTCGACCAACTTAAAATATCAAATCAAAAATTTTATCTCAGCACGTCAAAAATAGTGGGTCAAACGGGCCGACCCGTTTTACCACCCTTATGGATGGGGCAATTTTTATCTTTGTTTTTGTTTGGTGTTATTGGAATAATAGTAATAAAAAAATGAGTTTGAGATGACAACCGAAAAATTAGGAATGGAATGAGCTAGAGTTGAGTTGCAGTAGTTTTACAATTCTCTCGGTTAGAAATCACATTATATCAACCTATTCACCTTAATTAGCTGAATAATTGATTTTTTTAATATTAAAATAATATGTATTTTAATTCTTATTCATATTTATAAATTTAATTATGTTTAACAACTATTTTATTAATTAGTAATTTGTTAGTTAATATGTGTG